GACCAGAGCTCCTGGCTTGCTCAAGTTCAGTGATGCTCAAAAATATTTTTAGTCCCTGCACCGTGTACCTGTGAGAAAAACTCTATGCCCTGGGCTTTCGGCCAAAGCAGGTACTGAAAAGGCAGGTTAACAGGTCACCTCACTGTCCCTAAGGGTGGGTAAATCAGGTTAAGATCTACATGCTTACCAATTGGAAACCAGTTGTCCATTTTCCTGTAACTTTTTATTCTCCCAACATTTAAGTTTTATTCCAATTTTCTAACTGTTGACTGACCATACATTATTTCTAATTAAACCTTAATCCCCACAGTGGTCAGGGTACAGTCGTCATACTAGGATTTTATTGAACTGACACAATATGTTGCCACCAGTAAAACGTATTGAGAAAAAGGTAAAAGCGTTACTGTCAGCTGGTTAAAACTGTTTCCCAACCTGTCCTCAGGGTTAGGGGGGATGCCCAGGTCTCCTGTGCGCAGTTTACGAGTCAGGTCTTCTATCTGCAGTTGCACTGGAAGAAACCAGGTTAGGAAAGAAAAAAAAGGATGGAAAAAAGACAATGTTACCAATAAACATCTCAAATCTCAACAACAAGCATGAAGAACTCGGAGACTTTGAAAGGGACGACTGATCAGTGAACACATTGAAGCAAAAACCCCCAACCACCTATCGGCAGGAGTCCTTTTACATCTATAGGTTTTTTTCACTTCAAAATGGTTATCACTTAAGGAAGCAAACAGTTTGTTGGAAGAGGGGTTAGCAATAAAGACTGTTCACTAAGGCTAACATCCAAGCAATTACGAGGTGTTTCACCTCTTCCTCCCCACCAAGGCTTGCTTACAATTGGTACCCAGAACCAAAAACCATGTTATGTCACCAATACCAGATTCTCATCAAATTACTTGAGGGCAAGAATTGAGTTTTTCTTCATTAAATATTAAACATAGCCCAAAATGAGACCCAATTAACATGGGACAAGGAAAAATACCATTTGAGCAAAGACCATTTTCATTAATACCGCATTTAGAATTCCTTAAATAAGACATTTAACAACAAAATTCAACACCTTACAGAAATTTGTACATACTCTTTCTGTACAACCAGACCTGTACTAGTAAGGGTCTCCCAATACCTGCAGCTTTTATTCAATTATATGAAATATTTATTCAAACATTAAATGACAAACCACATATCTTAATAAACCAGTAACCATAAAGTGCTAAGAATTTCTTTTCAGGCTCGCTATTCATATAGGGAGCAGGCGTGTAGAAGAATGGAATGGGTGATCAAGGACAATGTACGTGGCTCTCGGGCCTTGACCAATGAGGCTGTGCATGAAAAAGAGAGATGAGGGTTTCACAAAAGTTGCCAGTGACTCCAGGGAAATGTTACACGGCTGATTTTCCAAGATAATGGGAACTGCAGAGCCAGAGCAGCTTTCTTCAATGTGCGGAATAACCACCTGTTCCTTACCTTCGTAGCATCTGAGAATTTTGAGCAGGCATCTCCAATAAGGGCAAGTGTTACTAGGTTGGGTTAAAATTGAGCTGGTTCCAAGATAGGATTAATGCGTCTAACCAAAGATTGCTTCTAACTTTAAATACATCCACAGGGCTATACCACACCCACACACTGAAACCCTGAAGAAATGAAAACCCATTATTATCGAAAAATACCAGCCAGACGCAGTGGCTCACGCCTGTAATCCCAATACTTTGGGAGGCCGAGGTGGGCAGATCATGAGGACAAGAGATCAAGACCATCCTGGCCAACATGGTGAAACCCTGTCTCTACTAAAAATACAAAAAAAATTAGCTGGGCATGGTGGCGTGTGCCTGTAGTCCCAGCTACTTGGGAGGCTGAGGCAGGAGACTCGCTTAAAGCTGAGAGGAGCAGGCTGCAGTGAGCTGAGATCGCACCACTACACTCCAGCCTGGCGACAGAGTAAGACTGCGTCTCTCCATTAAAAAAAAAAAAAAAAAAGGCACTGAGGGCATCCTGGATAAAGCAGTATATACTGCGGAAGACAGAAAATTAGTGAGACACATGGCTCCCCAAGCTCCTTTATGCTAAAAAGTTCTGACTTTGCAGTTGAGTATTAAGCTCAACAACTCCAGGTGAAAGTCACTTTCACTGAGAGGGGAAGGTGAGTCTTCCTAACTGACTATGGAGATGTGTGGCCTGATCTAAAAAAAAAGGGTCATTTTCTTCTATGAAGAACTACACCTCTCCTTTGATTCTATCTATTTTGATTATAGCTATAAATAGCCCTTAGGGCCCAGTGAACTAACCAGCCCTCCACAGAAAGAGAAATGGAGAGATGTAAGGAATTTGTGCTCTTCCCATTTTCTAAGTATGCTTGTGTTCTTGGGATATCACTACACTAGGGGCATTTCACAAGGTTGTAAAGACCCAGAATGGTCTAATATGAGACACAAGGGAATGGGTGGGAGTAGACAGGAACAGTAGGGGAAAGAGTAAGTATTAGTAGTACTGTGAAAGGAGACAGACAATTCCAACGCCTCAAAATTCTCAGCAGTCTAAAAAACAGGAAATTAAGACCCTCAAGAGTAGTAACATGCTGGCCTTGAAGCGTTTTGGTTGTGAAGGCCACAGCCTCATAGGCTTAGGAGGTCTTTGCCCGAATTTCCTCCAAAGGGGATGTTTATTTGGTTAGTAGAAAATGTTTATCAAGTGAACTTTTTTGAGACAGCTTTAAAAGGTAAAACTTTCATTAAAAACTTTTTTTCAAAAAAGCAATTTTGAAGTTAATTTCAATTCCACTGTGGACAGTCATTCTTAATTCTCAAAACCTCCCAGCAGATAAAACCTTTTTATCCTAGCACTTCATTCCATATCCACACAATATCCCTTTCCCAGCAGAGTTAAGAGTAAATACAAGAGCCTTCATTTTAAGACAGCTCTCCATAAACCAAACCAGAAAAGATGTTGAAGGGAAGGTTAAATTCTTAAATTCAAGAAAATAAAAAGGGATAAATTGTAAACACACTTTCAGAACCACTTTTTGTCAGTTTTTTTTTTCTTTCAGAAAGTACCTATAAAAAGTAAAAGACCACATTTTAGGGGGAGAAATGAAATTATGGTGAAAGGCCATGCTGTGAAAAGTACTTGGTTTACAGTACCTGCGGTGTTCTCCACTGGGGCCTGTCCAGAGAGGCAGATGACACTCACCTCATCAACTGGCAATGAACAACAGCAGCTGAAAAGGGTGGGCTGCTGGTCTGGGGACTGTTCTTACCCCTAAGTGAGACCCTACCTTCCTGACACTCATGGAGAACACTGCAATTATGAACAGACCAAAACAAGGAGCTGCAAATGCAGAACTCACTGGGCAAAAACTTGACAGATGATACCAAAGTCATGAACATATCTCATCTCAAAAAAGATAACTACAATCTTAAACTTTCAAGAAATGCAGATCTTGCTCAGAATAAATCGTAACAATCTCAAAGTGCATTTGGATGCAGAACGTATATTTACCTATATAAGCTCGCTCTTGTTCTCGAGTAAGTCCAGGGGGAATAACTGTAGGCATTCCCGGAATCACTGTCTTCTGTTCCATTGTGTCTTGGTTCCAGCGGCTCCTCTTCCGCTTCTTACTTGGGAAGTCTAAAGGCAGAAACAAAGTCCATCAGATGTAAATATAAATAGTTACCAACAGACAGTTAAGGGTATTTAAGGTACTACACAGAAACTCAGCAGATTGTGAAACTGAGAGCTTAACCTAAAACTTAAACAGCAAAAAACCAGAAAACAAACCTCAGAGATCAGAGATTTAAAGCTTATGGCCACTACAAGGGTATGTGGTCCTGGGTCAGGCAAGTTAACATTTCACCTTCTTTTGTCTAGAGAAACTGTGAAATATATAAACACGGTAATCTTAATGTATATGACTGCAGAGAGTGTTAAATATACACTACATCAACCGTGAGTGCTCCGAAAGCCCCAGGGGAGACACAAATACACTGAAGAATCATAGGTTTGTAAAGCAGCCCTGATGGGACTGGGGGCTTTGCCCACCTCCACTCCCCTCACCAGTCACTTTTCTATGAGAGGCAGAACAAGAGCTAAACCTAGTTATACCCTACCGAGTGGGAAAAGCCCAATTCTTCAACAAGACCACTTTTGTCTTCGTAAGTTTGGCCAAGATCAGCATTCATTTTCCTGGCCAGTTGGACACTCAGGGTCTGAACTTTTAAAAGAATCTATCAAAAATTCAACAAACAACAACCTATACAATAGCAGCCAAGTTCTCCTTCCCCCATACACAGGCAGAAACTCCCTACATTTAGCACAAGAGTCCTTCTATTTCCCAGGGGATACACGATCAGAAGGAAAAACTTTTTAAAACAAAGTGACAGGGGAGCCGGTCAGACTGAGATCTAAGGATACCGAACGAAGATTTAAAAAAAAAAACTAGAGTTCTCTCCCCAAAAGAGACCAAAAAAGATCAGACCCAACCATCATCTGAAGCATGCCAACCTCTCCCGGATGAAAACCCTGCCTTGCTATACAAGCAGAGCAGCTATCCTTGGTATGGTTCCCATTCTGGCTCAAGACCAGAAAGGAGCCGCCGCACGTCATCAGGTGAGGCTTTCACGCCCTGCTGACATTCACAACCAGCACCCCGTCCAGTGCTGAACATCCGCCACCCCTCTTCCCCACACCAGCGGACTGAAGGGCAATAGGGGTCCCCGAGTCTATAAAACTGAGCCGCACAGCCCGGCCACCTCACTGCGTCTGCGCACAGAGCGCCTCCCGCCCGCCCAGCCCTCCCCAACAGCGCGCGTGCGCACTCGAGGCCCTAGAACCAGGCCGCGCGCGCCCTGGGGCGCCTCCGCCCGGGCCTCCCCGTGCGCGCGCGCGCGCGCGCCCCTGCCGCGTGCAGCCGCCGTCGCCGCCGCCGCGCGCCCCTCAGGCGGCCGGGCCCGTCCGCGCGACGCCTCTCGCGCTCTTTCGGCCCGACTCACCTCCTCCGCCGCCGGCCGGGCCCGGCTGCTGGTCCTTACGCGGCGGCTGGGGTGGCGGCGGCTGCGGCGGCGAGACGCGCTGGTAGAGCGGCGGCGGAGGGGGCGGCTGCGGCGGCGGGTACGAGGCGCCAGGGGACGGTGGAGGTGGAGGCGGCGGCGGCTGCTGGGGAGGCGGAGGGGGCGGCGGCGGAGGCGGCGGAGGCAGCGCCGCGAAGGGGAAGGCCGCGGTCAGGGCCCCCATCGAGCTCACGGGCGGGGGCGGCGGCGGCCCGGGAGCCAGCAGCCCCGCCCCAGGCCCGGGTGCAGGCGGAGGGCCCGGCTCGAAGCCCCCTTTGGGTCCGGGAAGCGGGGGGAGCCCGGGGGGGCCCAGCTTACCCAACGGCGTGGCGTTCGCTCCGGTCGCCATGGCGCCCCCGGGGACAGGCACCGGCAGCTGCTGTTCCTCGGCGGCGGCTTCTCCTTCGCAAGCCTCCCGGGGGGAGGGGACCCGACCGCGCTGCCGGAGCGCGCGGAGCCCGTCCTCTCACGCGGCGGGCGGCGGCGGCGCGAGACGCACAAAGAGGGAGGAGAAAGGCCGCCGCGGGGGCGGGCCGGGGGCGGCGGGACCGGGGACTGGATTGGGCCAGGCCGAGGCGAAGGGTCGAAATCGGGGGCCTCCGATTGGCGGAGCCTCAGTCCTTCTTGATGAGCGCTGGGATTGGCCGAACCGTTAGGCCAGGCGAGGAAATGGCGGCGGAGTCCGGTGGGCTGGGAGGTGTCGCAGCGCGCACTTCATTTGTTACTGCGTGAACTGAGCTCGGAGTCCAGAAAGGAGGGGATGGGGTGGGGCGAACTCTGTGACGGAGCGTCCACGAGCTCTCTCATTGGCTGCGGTGGTGGAGTCAATCAATTTCGCGTGCGTCGTAGTGTCGCGGGATTGGCTGTCGCTGGTTCCAGCTTTTTTCTACTCTCCTCCCTCAGGGGGCAGTTTCTCCGGGATTAAGCGAGAAGTCGCGGCGGAAAAGGCCCAGCCGGAACGAGATTTATGGCGGGGGAATCCTGGAGGAGGAAGTGCGCATGCGTAGATAGAGCAACACCGCCCTCTGCGCTAGTCCCCCTTCACCATCGACCCTCGGGTCCAGCATGGAAGCCCTAAGTGACGTCAACCTTTATTCCCATGGTAACGCGGAACCTTGGGGCGGGAGCACGGGAGGGGCTGATGCGCGCCGGAAAACCGGCTCCGTTACGCCGCAGGTAAAGAGACTTCCTGTTTTTTTTAAATAAAAAAATGACCCAAAAAGCTATGAATAGAGAAGACTTATTGAAGGATTAAAAACAGTATTTGAAGTGATGCAACAACAAATTAGATGAAAGATAACATAAGGTTGTCAATTCAAAAGTTACAAATACACACTTATATCGGAATCTTAACGGAGTTCAGAGGATTTAATTAAATGATCTTAAAATCATATAAAACAATAACTACGGCCGGGCGGCGGTGGCTCACGCGTAATCCCAGCACTTTGACAGGCCAAGGCGGGCGGATCACAAGGTCAGGAGTTCGAGACCAGCCTGACCAATATGGTGAAACCCTGTCTCTACTAAAAAATACAAAAATTAGCTGGGCGTGGTGGTGCACGCCTGCAATCCCAGCTACTCGGGAGGCTGAGGCAAGAGAATCACTTGAAGCTGAGAGGCGGAGGTTGCAGTGTTCCTAGATTCGGCCACTGTACTTCAGCCTGGGTGACAGAGCAAGACTGTCTCAAAAAAAAAAAATACTACAGTAGTGGGAAAACTTTACAAGATGGAGCAGGAGCTTGCCTTTCCAGATGACAAACATAGTATATAAAACAAAATAGGCCAGTGCGGTGGCTGACACCTGTAATCCCAGCACTTTGGGAGGCCAAGGTGGGTGGATCACCTGAGGTCAGGAGTTCGAGACCAACCTGACCAACACAGTGAAAACCCTGTCTCTACTAAAAGTACAAAAATTAGCCCAGCATGGTGGCAGGCGCCTGTAATCCCAGGTTCTCAGGAGGCTGAGGCAGGAGAATTGCTTGAACCCGGGAGGCGGAGGTGCAGTGAGCTGAGATCGCTCCACTGTTCTCCAGCCTGGGCAACGGAATGAGACTCCGTCTCAAAAACAAAAAAACCACAATAATAAAACAATATGATATTGTTGGTAGGAAAGACACATTAGTGCAACAGAATTCGGAAATACCACAAAGGTGGTATTTTATTTCAATTAGGAAAAGATGATTTAGTTGATAAATGGTGTAGAATCTTAAATTTAAACAACAAGACATTTAGAATATAATTTAGGAGACTATAAGGGTAATCTAGGGTAATCTAGGGATTGAGGGACTGCAAAGACAGGAACCTCAAACTATGAAAAGATATACTTGATTACCCCAAAACTTAACACTGTGATAAAAGTCAACAGACAATGATAGATGAGGAAAAAATATTTGCCATACATGATAAAGAGCCAGTATCTATAATATACAAAGAAATCTTAAAAACTAATTAGAAAAAAGGCAGAAACAATAGAAAAGGAACAAAAAATAGGAATGGACATGTCTCAGAAGAATAAATCCAAATAGCCAAGAAACATGAAAGGGTGTACAACCCCTCTGCTGTGGTTTTTTAAAATAAATATAAAAGATGTTGGAACCCCCACAACGCTTCAAACCTGGAGAGAGAGGTGGCTGTGATCTCAGCCACATAGGGTTATACTTTTTTCTCAGATAATAAATTAGACCTGCTTATTTTTTCTGTTCTGTAAAATTACTGGAGAGAATGAAACACCGGGACAAAAACCTGCTGCCTTCTTAATGACCCTTCTTATAGATTAACTTCCCTTTTGTTGTCCTGCTTTACTTAGACCAGATGACAGCAAACCCATGACTATTACACTCTCTGTAAAAAATGTTAAATGTATGCCTCCCAAAAAGAAACACTACTTACAACCAAATTATTATTATTATTATTATTATTATTTTTTATTTGAGACAGTCTTGCTGTTGCCCAGACTGGAGTGCAATGGCACAATCTCGGCTCACTGCAACCTCTGCCTCCGGGGTTCAAGCAATTCTCCCCCGTCAGTTTCCCAAGTAGCTGGGATTATAGCCACCTGCCATCATGCCCAGCTAAGTTTTGTATTTTTGTAGAGTTGGGATTTCACCATGTTGGCCAGGCTGGTCTTGAACTCCTGACCTCAGGTGCCCACCTCAGCGTCCCAAAGTGCTGAGATTACAGGCATGGGCCACTGCACTCGGCCTACAACCAAATTACTATAACTATGCACCGACCATATATGAAAAATGTAATCCTAAAACTCCTCTGCCTCTGCCTGTGTGAATGAAACCTTAACTTCTCTACTTCAAAACACTGACTCCATTCATTTGGAGTCGGTGTTTCCAGGTGGTCCACCCTCATGTTTTGTGCTTGAATAAACTATTAGAATTAGATTCTGACCCTTTTGATTACTTTAGGTGGACAGGTTTGAATATGTCCCCCAAAGCTCATGTGTTAGAAACTTAATCTCCGGCCAGGCGTGGTGTCTCCATCACTTTGGGAGGCAGAGGTGGGTGGATCACCTGAGGTCAGGAGTTCGAGACCAGCCTGGCCAACATGGTTCTCCTGCCTCAGCCTCCCAAGTAGCTGGGATTACAGCCACCGCCACCATGCCTGGCTAATTTTTTGTATTTTTAATAGAGACGGGGTCTCGCCATGTTGGCCAGGCTGGTCTCGAACTCCTGACCTCAGGTGGTCCACCCATCTCAGCCTCCCAAACTGCTGGGATTACAGGCATGGGCCACAACACCTGGCCAGAAATCTCTATTCTTTTTTTTTTTTTTTTTTTTTTTTTTTGAGACGGAGTCTTGCTCTGTAGCCCGGACTGGAGTACAGTGACCAGATCTCGGCTCACTGCAAGCTCCGCCTCCCGGGTTTACGCCATTCTCCTGCCTCAGCCTCCGGAGTAGCTGGGACTACAGGCGCCCGCCACCTCGCCCGGCTAGTTTTTTGTATTTTTAGTAGAGACGGGGTTTCACCGTGTTAGCCAGGATGGTCTCGATCTCCTGACCTCGTGATCCGCCCGTCTCGGCCTCCCAAAGTGCTGGGATTACAGGCTTGAGCCACCGCGCCCGGCCTAAATCTCTATTCTTAATTACCCAGACTGGGTGTGGTGACTAATGCCTGTAATCCCAGCACTTTGAGTCTGAGGTGGGGGCATCTCTTGAGCTCAGGAGTTTGTGACCAGCCTGGGCAACAGATCAAGACCTCACCTCTACTAAAAAAAAAAAAAATGCTAGTCATGGTGATCCATGATTGTAGTCCCAGCTACACGAGAGACTGAAGCAGGAGGACTGCTTGAGCCCAGGAGATCGAGGCTGCAGTGACCTATGATCACGCCACTGTAATCCAGCCTTGGCAACAGACCAAGACCCTGTCTCAAATAAATAAATAAATTACCCAGTCTCAGGGATTCTGTTATAGTAATACCACCTTAGACTGTGCTGAGTTTGTGCGACTGTTACAGAATCCCTGAGACTTGCTAATTTATTTACCAGTATTTAGATACTGCCTATAACGGAAATACAAATAAAGGTGATAATGAGGAATCTCAAAATAAATGAAAATAGCAGAACATAAACGTGTTAACACCTACTATCGTTAATCTTTTAGAAAGCATTCTGCTGTCTATTAAAATTGTTCCCCCTTTCAAAAAATAAAAAATATGCACCTATACTCACAGCTACTTGAGAAGCTGAGTTGGGAGGATCCCCTGAGCCCAGGAAGTAGAGGCAGAAGTGAGCTGTGATTGGGCAACAGAGTAAGACTCTGTCTCAAAAGAAAGAAAACATAAACCTTTTCAATCCAATATCCCACTCCTGGGAATCTGCCCCCAAAACAAGCCATGTGATTACATAATGTTTGCAAAGTCTTCTGCATTTACTGCAGCATTGTTTGTAGTGGTAAAAATGGGCAAACAAAGTGAATTTCTATCAATATATGAACGACTGAATTTGAAAACCCATAACCTGGAATATTAGGCAGCTTTGAAAAGCTGTCAATTCATACCAACCGACCTAAAGTAACTTCTGTGTTAAGTGAACAAAGGAATATATATGACATGGCCTTGTTTTTGTAACACAAACCCCATACAGATGTGTGTATGTTTGCGTATGATTGAGCGTAACAAAGGCTACAGAAGGATACGTAGCACATGCCCTCCTATTGCAGAGTGAAATGGGAAGTTACCCAATACATCTTAAACATCCAACCTTTTTTTTTTTTTTTTTTAATGAGATGGAGTCTCGCTCTGTCACCCAGACCAGAGTGCAGTGGCATGATCTTGGCTCACTGCAACCTCCTTCTCCTGGGTTCAAGCGATTCTCATGACTCAGCCACCAGAGTAGCTGGGATTACAGGCACATGCCACCATGCCTGGCTAATTTTTGTATTTTTAGTAAAGACGGGGTTTCACCATGTTGACCCTGGTCTCGAACTCCTGATCTCAAGTGATTCGCCCACCTCAGCCTCCTAAAGTGCTGGGATTACAGGTGTGAGCCACCACACCCCGCCTAAAAATCCAACATTGAAAAAAAAAAAATGCTTCATATGTTTAAAAAATGTATTACATGATCCCATTTATGCAACATTATATAACTATAGGCATTGAGAAATGCACCAAGGGCTGGGTGCAGTGGCTCACACTTGTAATCTCAGCACTTTGGGAAGGCAAGGCAGGAGGATCGCTTGAGGCCAGGAGTTCGAGACCAGCCTTGGCAACATAAGGAGACTTCGTCTCTACAGAAACAAAAATAATAATCAGCTGAGCATGATGTGCGCCTGTAGTTCCAGCTACTTGGGAGGCTGAGGCAGGAGGATTGTTTGACCCCAAACAGTTTGAGGCTGCAATAAGCTGTGATCACACCACTGCACTGAAGCCTAAGTGACAGAGGGAGACCCTGTTTCCAAAAAAAAAAAAAAAAAACTCGGCGCAGTGGCTCACACCTGTAATTCCAGCACTTTGGGAGGCCAAGGCAGGTGGATCATGAGGTCAGGAGATCGAGATTGTCCTGGCTAACATGGTGAAACCCTATCTCTACTAAAAGTACAAAAAAAATTAGCCGGGCCTGGTGGCAGGCGCCTGTAGCCCCAGCTACTCAGGAGGCTGAAGCAGGAGAATGGCATGAACCCGGGAGACAGAGCTTGCAGCGAGCCAAGATCACGCCACTGCACTCCAGCCTGGGCGACAGAGCGAGACTCCATCTCAGAAAAAATTAGTCGGGTGTGGTAGTCTCAGCTACTCATGAGGACTGAGGTGGGAGGATGGCTTGAGCCTCCGAGGCAGAGATGGCAGTGAGTGGAGATGGCACCACTGCACTCCAACCTGGGTGACAGAATGAGACCCCATCTCAAAAAAAAAAAAAAAAAAAAAAAAAAAATGGCTGGGTACGGTAGCTCACACCTGTAATCGCAACACTTTTGGAGGCCAAGGCAGGCAAATCACTTGAGACCACGAGTTCAAAACCAGCCTGACCAACATGGTGAAACCCCATCTCTACTAAAAAGACAAAAATTAGCTGGTTGTGCTGGTGCACACCTGTAGTCCTAGCTACTCAGGAGGCTGAGGCAGGAGAATCACTTGAACCTGGGAGGCAGAGGCTGCAGTGAGCCGAGATCGTACCACTACAGTCAGGGCGACAGAGCAAGACTCCCATCTCAAAATAAAAGAAAAAAAGAAAAAGATGCAGCCGGGCGCGGTGGATTACACCTGTAATCCCAGCACTTTGGGAGGCCAAGGCAGGCAGATCACCTGAGGTCAGGAGTTCAAGACCAGCCTGCCCAATGTGGTGAAACCCCATCTCTACTCAAAATACAAAAATTAGCCGGGCATGCCTGTAATCCCAGTTACTCGGGCGGCTGAGGCAGGAGAATCACTTGAACCCAGGAGGCGGAGGTTTCAGTGAGCCAAGATCAGGCCACTGCACTCCAGCCTAGGTGACAGAGTGAGACTCCGTCTCAAAAAAAAAAAAAAAAAAAAAAAAAATTGAACACTTACCTATGACTTCCATATGACTTCCCCACTTCCATTTGGAGTATGTCCTTCCACTCCAAAGTATTTACCCACAAGAAATGATAGAATATATCCAACAAAGACAGGTACATGAATGTTCATAGCAGCTTTATTTGTAATAGTTCAAAACTGGACATGGTCCAAATGTCCATCAACAGATGAATAGCTAAGCAAACTGGTGCATCCAAACAATGGAATACTACTTGGCAATAAAAAGGAATAAACTATTAATACATGCAACAGGGATGACTCGCAAATCCTTATGCTCAGCTAAGCAAGAAGCCAGACAAAACACAAATACATACTGTGTGATTCTATTTACATACATTCTAGAAAGTGCAGATTAACCTGTAGTGACAGAAAGCAGCACAGTTGTTACTTGGGGATGGGAGGCAAGAAGCAGGAGGGTGGGCTTACCAAGGGCATGGGAAACGTTCCCGAGTGAAGGGGATGGTGGTTATCTTGATTGTGCAAATGGTTTCACGGGTGTACACATATGTCAAAAGTCATCACGTACACATTTTTATATGCAGCTTATTGTATGCCAGTTATGCCTCAATAAAACTGTCTTTCAACAATACACACTAGAAGGCAGCAACTGCAAGACAGCAACTCCAGAGTTCTGTGCAGGACACTGCAGTGATTCCTCTCCATTTATTTTCATCATCTAGGGAAGCATGCTCTTCATTTTTTTTTTTTTTTTTTTTTGAGACGGAGTCTCGCTCTGTCTCCCAGGCTGGAGTGCAGTGGCCGGATCTCAGCTCACTGCAAGCTCCGCCTCCCGGGTTTACGCCATTCTCCTGCCTCAGCCTCCCGAGTAGCTGGGACTACAGGCGCCCGCCACCTCGCCCGGCTAATTTTTTGTATTTTTTAGTAGAGACGGGGTTTCACCATGTTCGCCAGGATGGTCTCGATCTCCTGACCTCGTGATCCGCCCGTCTCGGCCTCCCAAAGTGCTGGGATTACACATTTTTGGTTTTGTCTTTCAAGCGAGCTCTATTTTTTCAGTGTTTACTTTTAAATATTTTTTTAAAATTTTTTTTCGTTTTTTTTGTTTGTTTGTTTTGTTTTTTTTCGAGACAGGGTCTCACTCTGTCACCCAGGCTGGAGTGCAGTGGCAAGTTCATAGCTCACTGCAGCCTTGAACTCCTAGGCTCAAGCAATCCTCCTACCTTTGCCTCCAGAGTAGCTGCGACTGCAGGCGAGTGCCACCATGCCCAGCTAATTTTTGCATTTTTTGTAGAGACAAGGTTTCATCATGTTGCCCAGGCTGGTCTAGAACTCCTGGGCTCAAGTGATCTGCCTACCTCAGCTTCACAAAATGCTGGGATTACAGACATGAACCACCATGCCCAAACTAAAATTTTATGACATAATATTTGATACATACAAAAGGATGTGTGGCACCTTATGTGAGTTAGGAACTGAGTTATAACTTAAATATCCATGAACTTACCACCAAACCTGAGAGTTGTGATATTACCAATACCTTTACAAATTCCTGGGCTCCTTCCTTATCCCATCCCACACTCCTCTCAGGGACCACCATCTCAGATTTTGTGCTTTTCCTTCCCTTGATTTTTTAATAGGGTTTTATGTTGGGCGTGTATTGCTAAACAATAGATGGTTTCATTTTGTTTTTGAGCTTTATAAAATGCTATCGTACTGTGCATAAAGTGCTGTTTTAATTTACCTCTAAGATTCATCTATGTTATTGCATTATGTCTGTTACAGTATTTCTGCCGCTCCCGACAGCCCTGCAGTTGGCTTTGGATATGGTAAACCTAAGGAAAGTAAAGCTCAGTGAGGTGGGGTGGCTCACCCAGTCCAACGGCAGATTGCAGGGACTCCTCTTCACCACATCTTGTCCATTCCCTCACTTGCAAGGGTCTCCTGTGCACTGGCAGTGAGCAGGTGCTGGACATGCCACAGGGAACACGGCAGATCCTCCACCGTCCCAAAGCACACATCATGGCGCTCCCCTTGACTTTCACCAGGACGACTCTGGGTACAGGCCAGTTATCTGAACATCCTGGGGGGGTCCATGTCCCTTCTACTTGTCCTCAAGAATGACTTAAAGAGTCTGGTCTGGCCCTCCCACAGGTTTCTGCCCATGGAGGGCAACTGGACAGCGGCTATCACCACAACAAATGCAGCCACCCCTGACTCATTAATACTACTTCCAGGAACTTATCCTCTAGAAATGCTTGAATATGTACAGAGGGGCACCGGCCTAAGAATATTACAGCATTGTTTGTAATATAAAAATAGTAAAAACAACTCAAGTTTCCACCAATAGGGATCTCACTGCAGGTCATTAACATTTGTTATGGGAAACATACACAATGGAATACCACTAGCTGTAAAAAAAAAATTTTTTTTGGCTGGGCGCGGTGGCTCAAGCCTGTAATCCCAGCACTTTGGGAGGCCGAGACGGGCGGATCACGAGGTCAAGAGATCGAGACCATCCTGGCTAACACGGTGAAACCCCGTCTCTACTAAAAAATACAAAAAACTAGCCGGGCGAGGTGGCGGGTGCCTGTAGTCCCAGCTACTCAGGAGGCTGAGGCAGGAGAATGGCGTGAACCTGGGAGGCGGAGCTTGAAGTGAGCTGAGATCCAGCCACTGTGCTCCAACCTGGGTGACAGAGTGAGACTCCGACTCAAAAAAGAAAAAAATTTTTTTTAAAAAAGTGAGATCTTTGATAACGCAAAACTCTCCAGGATATATACATATTTTTTCGGGGTGCACGTGATAATTTAATACATTCATATTCTCCAGGATATATATTTTTTTTTTCCTTTTTTTTTTTGAGACAGAGTCTCGCACTGTCGCCCGGCCAGAGTGCAGTGGCACATTCTAGGCTCACTGCAACCTCCGCCTCCCAGGTTCAAGTGATTCTCCTGCCTCAGCCTCCCAAGTAGCTGGGATTACAGGCGCCCGCCACCATGCCCAGCTAGTTTTTTGTGTTTTTAGTAGAGACAGGGTTTCACCATGTTGGCCAGGCTGGTCTCGAACTCCTGACCTCGTGATTTGCCCACCTCGGCCTCACAAAGTGCTGGGATCACAGGTGTGAGCCACCACACCCGGCCCCCCAGGATATATTTTTAAAGGGCAAGGTCAATACAATATGTGGAATATGGTAATACGTATATAAAAAATTGCAAAGAATAAAATATACCAAATTGCTTAAATATGCAAAATACTTCTAGAAGGGTTCATAAGTAACTGGGACCAGGGTGGCTGGGGACAGGGGTAAGAGGGAGACTCTTCATGACATCTCTGCTGTATTTTAAAAAATACGTACCATGGGCAAAGGCTACCCATTTAAAAATACATAAATAAAATTTAAAGTGTTAGTCTCTCAGTGCATATTACCCGGCTTCTCGGCCTTTCTTTGCTCTTGGCCTGCCTTTGCTAGCAGCAAGCGTTTTATGGGAGGCCCCCACTTTGGCAGTTTACACTCTGCAGTCCAAACCCCCTTTCCAGACTGAATCTGAGGGCTGGAAAGATCCGCCACAAGGAGGCACTGTCTGCTGCTGGCCACTTGGTGGGTGGAAAGCCAGCCCTCCCCAGGGCGCCTTTGGTCAGGGTCTTCGCTGAGCAGGAGCTCACCTCCCTGTCCCCACTTACCCCACCCTGGTCCCAACATTCCTCCAAGAAATCTGGAAAATTGGAAGTTAGGAATTCACTTTGTATCCCTGTTACCACCGACCCCAATTTGGAAGATGCTCCTCACCCTCCTTGGGGCTCCCGGGAACATGGGTGTGAATGTCTGGTGTGAAGAGATGTGTTCCCTCCCCTGGGCTGGCTCCCCATTCCAGCCAAGAAACCCTCCAGTCACTGGACGGAGTCAGAATAGTTGAAACTCTGCTGGAGGGTGGCTGAGGGGACAGTGTGACACCCTGGGAGCCACTGAGCCTACTCCCATGGCTGCCATCCACCTACCATGTCACTCCGCAAGTCTTTATTGTCGCCCACCAGGTGCAAAGCTCTTACTCCAACACCTGCCTTGAATGTCAGGGGTGACGATGGGGCCTTTGCTCCAGCTGTTCCCCCCATCCTGCCCCCACCTTCCCATCCCCCCAACTGTGCGCCCTCAAGGCCACTCCCATCCTGCCTCCTGGGCTGCAGCTGCCCAAAGGCTCTGGTCAAGAGCGGCTTATCAGTGCCTGGGGCAAGAGGGGATGCCCGGCCCTGGGGACCCTGGTGTTCAGAGCTGAGCAGACAGCCCCTGGGAGAATGACAGCGTAAGCACAAGCTACAGGAGGATGGCCATGAACTCAAGATGCAGGCTCCCTCCCTGGGGGCTGGTCCATTCCTGGTAGTGACCCCAGGGCCTGGCACTGAGGCAGCCCTCGGGAGTCTGGTAGATGGACATAGGCTAGCCTTCCCGTCCAATCTGATGATCGTGCTGTCATCTGATGTTCCTGGCCTAACACCTAAGCAGTAGGTGGAGGCAGGGATACAGGTCACACAGGCTACCTCCGCAGGCAGCAGCCTCCCTGGGACTGGAAGGAACAGCCCTCTGGGGGGCTCCTCCTGGGCCCTACCAGGGGCCACCCAGTGAGATCCTAGGTGGGGCAAGGGTGCCCTGGATGAGAGTGCCTTTGTTGAGGCACCCCATCTGCATGAATCCTTGGGGTGCCAAACTACAACACAGCCCTCAAACTGCAAAGCTGAGGGTCAGTTCTGAGCAAGGGCACAGGGGAAGGCACAGTGCCCCTGGGAAGGCTGCTGGGGGCCATGGCCTCCTGTCACCTCTACCTGGCTTCTCCAAGGCCCTGCCCTTCTGTGGTGCCCACAGAAAGGTGTGTTGGAGGGAAGGAGGCAGAAGATGAAGTGGTTTCACTCCCCCGACCCAGAGGGACCAGAGGAGTAAAACAAACAAGCTTTAATACCAATATAGTTCTCTCTTAAATACTGTGTTTCCCAGGACAAATGCAGGGGCAGGCTCTTGGCAGAAAGAGTAGAAAGGAAATGTGGAACAAAATGGAATGAATGGCCCAGGCCCAGGGCGCCTGCCTTGGGCACTAGGGACTCGGCTGCCTCGGGGAAGGGGGAGTGACAGCAGCTCCCCCAGTCCAGTTATTGCAGAGGCGTGGAAGGCTCCCCTCCCTCCCCAGGCCTGAAACATTTCTCAGGATTACTTCTGCCCTTCAGCCCCAGCAGGGCCAAGGCCTGGGCTCCTCTGGTCTGGGATGGGCCCCTTTGCCCAAAAGGGCCTGCAGCTAAGGCGTGGGGTGGGGTGGGGAGCCCCTGGCCAGGCCCGCCGCTCTCAGTAGGTGCTCTGGTGGCCCGTGAGGATGTAGAGGTTGCTGTGCGCCTGTGGGTTGTCAGTGGGGATGCTCTCCAGGATGATGTCTCTGGAGGAGAGAGGAGTAGGGGGCAGGGCGGGAGACACTTGGCACATCAGCCCCTTCTCTGGCCTCAGGGGCATCTGAAGGGGAGGCTGGGGTGCCACTGCCTACCTGTGGGCCCCAAGCACTCGGAAGATCCTTGTTTCATCTGTGATCTCCTGGGTCACCTGGGAAGATGGGTGGGAAGCACTGAGGCCACTCCAGTAGGTCCTCTGCAAAGAGGTAGGGACCACAAGGCAGGGGATAGCCAGGTCCCTGGGCCCCACTCACCTCGTTGGTATCCAGGCTGCGGCCTTGCATCCCATGGCTCCAGAAGGCCAGCACGCTGTCCTGCAGGCACACTACGGGGGCCGGGCCATCAGCCCTGCACCCGGCCTGGAGCCCCCTCAGCCACGCCTGAGCCTGGGTCTGGGCCACAGGGGTCCTCACTGACCTCAGGTGACCAGCATGGCTCAGGAGAGGGGCTGGGGAATCTGCCTCCTCGTCCTACCGCCAGCCCCAAGTCCCTAAGCCACAATGTGCTCCAGGCCAGGGAAAAGCCTGCACCCCACCTCTGGCTCACTCACCCACAGTCTCGATGGGGAAGTCAAAGGTCAGCTCAGGCGCCAGTGTGGCCGTGGGCTCGCCCTGCATGTTGACAATCCTCACGCAGCCTGCACAGGGAGGGGGCTGGTGGGTGGGGACAGGGAGGCTCCCTTCTGGGAGGGCAGACCCATGTGGTCCCCTCACCCCCATACTCCCCTGCCCTAAGCCCTGCCCCCCAGGGCACTCACGTTCAAAGCTGACTAGGACTGTGTCCCTGTCCACCTGGATCACCTGCTGAGCTGAGCCTGGGATTCCCTCTGCAGGTAGAGAAGAGAAACCACCTGGCTGAGCCACCAGTCCCCCCAACCCCAAGTGGACACAGGAGCCAGGCTACAGAGAGCCCTTAGCCATGAGGGCACGTCAGCCTCACGACAGCCCTGTGCGGCTGGGAAACCTCATCTTCCTCCAGGGCTGGGAACCGAGGCTCTGAGAGGATGAGTGACCCATCCTGGGGCTCATGGGGAGTGGGGTAGGAGTCACGGGGAGCCACGGGAGGGCTCCAGATTTAGGGGGACCAGGCCTCGTGACCCAATCACTGTGACCTGGTACCAGTCACTTTACCTCTCGGAGCCTCCGTTTACTCATAACACAGGCAAGATGGCACTGCCTTGAGAGGCTATCATGAGGATCAAGAATAAAATCCTGGGCCGGGCGCGGTGGCTCAAGCCTGTAATCCCAGCACTTTGGGAGGCTGAGACGGGCGGATCACAAGGTCAGGAGATCGAGACCATCCTGGCTAACACAGTGAAACCCCGTCTCTACTAAAAAATACAAAAACCGGCCGGGTGCGGTGGCTCAAGCCTGTAATCCCAGCACTTTGGGAGGCCGAGACGGGCGGATCACGAGGTCAGGAGATCAATACCATCCTGGCTAACACGGTGAAACCCCGTTTCTACTAAAAAATACAAAAAACTAGCTGGGCGAGGTGGCGGCGCCTGTAGTCCCAGCTACTGTGGAGACTGAGGCAGGAGAATGTTGTGAACCCGGGAGGCGGAGCTTGCAGTGAGCTGAGATCCGGCCACTGCACTCCAGCCTGGGCGACAGAGCCAGACTCCGTCTCAAAAAAAAAAAAAAAAAAAAAAAAAAAATACAAAAACTCCTAGCCGGGGCGGAGTGGCGGGCGTCTGTAGTCCCAGCTACTCGGGAGGCGTAGTCCCAGCTACTCGGGAGGCTGAGGCAGGAGAATGGCGTGAACCTGGGAGGCGGAGCTTGCAGTGAGCTGAGATCCGGCCACTGCACTCCAGCCTGGGTGACAAAGTGAGACTCTGTCTCAACAACAAAAAAAAATAAAAAATAAAAAAATAAAATCCTGGGCTGGGGACTGTGGCTCACACCTGTAATCCCAGCACTGTGGGAGGCCAAAGCCATAGATCACCTGAGATCAGGCGTTCAAGACTAGCCTGGCCAACATGGCGAAACCCCATTTCTAATAATACAAAAAGTAGCTGGGCGTGGTGGCACATGCTTGTAATCCCAGCTCCTCAGG